AAAAATGCTAATGGATCACTTCATGTTTGAAACCTTAATAGGTCATTCAATCAAGTCATCTGTCACCACGTTATTTTTGTTCTTATTATATTTTATTTACAACAGCTGCCAGTGGTGATAAAATATATAAATTTAATATTTACCCATCACCTTCGTTTTAATCTTTCTATTGCTGGCAATAAAATATAAGTGAAAATTCGGTAAAATGTAGGGTGAGTTTGAAGAAAATGACCATAAAAATGAAGATTTCAAAAAATAATCACAGGTTCCGTAGAAAGGATTCTACGGAACCATAAACACCTCTGCGGATCTTGGTTTTTTTTCTTTTTTTTTTAGTTTTTTCGTTTTTTTCGTTTATTAATTTTTTTTTAATCAAATAAGGTATTATGTGATTATTATGTAAAAAAAAAATGTTTTCGTTTTTTTTTTCTTATTTAATTACCCGTTTATAAAAGTTGTGTGTTTAATAAAAATTATACAATATTCTATATTTTTTATAAAAGTACACACATCGGTATTCTAAATAATAAACATACTTTAAGTAGGTTACAAAACATACTTTAAAAAACATAAACATACAATCTTAATAATAAACATAATTTGAATTAAAACAAACTTCATTAAAATCTATACGGATCCTCTACATCTCTGTGAAATCTTTTTTTTTTTTTTTTAATTTTTTTTCATTTTTTTTTGCGTTCATTTTCGTGTATTAATATTAATTTTTTTAAAATATACTAATACCTTATGTGATTATTATGTAAAAAATTTGACAAAAAAAAAAGTTAAATAATGAAATGTTTTATGTAATACATAAAACATTTCATTATTTTTAACATTTTTTGTAGAATTTTTTACATAATAATCATATAATGTATAAGTGTATTTAATATATATATATATATATATATATATATATATATATATATATATATATATATATATATATATATATATATATATATATATATATTAACATACAAAAATGAACAAAAAAAATCAAAAAAATCAAAAAACAAAGATTCTGCAGAGCTGTAGAGGATCCACAAAACCTTCAATAAAGTTTATTTCAAAGTATGTTTATTATGAAGTTTATATATTTATGTTTTCTAAAGTATGTTTTGTAACCTACTTAAAGTATGTTTATTATTCAGAATACCGATGTGTAATTTTATAAAGAAACATAGAATATTTGTATAATTTTTATTAAACACACAACTTTTATAAACGGATAATTAAATAAGAAAAATGAAAAATGAAAACAAATATTTTTACATAATAATCACATAATACCTTATGCGATTAAAAAAATATTAATAAACGAAAACAAAAAACGAAACAAAAAACAAAAAACTAACAAAATGAAAAAAAATCAAGATCTGCAGATGTGTTCACATTCCGCAAAGGTATTTATGGTTCCGCAGAACCCCCTTTGCAAAACTTGTGGTCATTTTCTGAAATTTTCATTTTTGTGACCATTTTCTTCAAATTCACCTTACATTTTGGTCATTTGTCGAATTTTCTCATAAAATATATAAATTTAATATTTACCCATCACCTTCGTTTTAATCTTTCTATTTCTAATAATAAATCGAATCAATTTTTATCACCTGCCTTGTTTCAAATGTTTTTACCTTTAAAGTTAAATTACTAACATATCCTCACTCATTGTCGTAAACTGTAAATTTGATCCTTATTATGAGCAAAAAATATGGATAAGATCTAAAAACTTTGGAATTTGCATGGATGATCCAAAATCAAATTATTTTTGTGGTTGTAGTTCCTATTAAACAGAAAAATATAGTTTTATCTTTTTTATTTCCTTCGTTGCATTTTTATTCTTTATTTAAGTATTTTAAAGTTTATTAATTAACTAGAAATAAAAATAGCCCCACCATCTCTCTCTCTCTCTCTCTCTCTCTCTCTCCCCACCCAAACAGCCCAAACCATGTACTTAATTGTCCAACTTGTACCATCAGAAAGACTACCACCATCTCTTCCCTTATTGACATTCACCGGAAAACACTGTCTTCTCCTCAACGTCGCCTCAAACATGTATTAGATACTTATCAAACTTACCCCTCATTGGAAGCTTGATTTCCTCCCTTTAACCGATCTCCTGTTCTTTGTTGGGGGTGGTGGTGGGTTAAACAAACGACAATGAAGAAGAAGAAGAAGGGCGCCACAACTGTCGATTTTGATCCACCCATCTACAAGCGGATTCTTGTCACATTGTGGGTGGAGGCGATATGTATTGAAGAGAAGTACAATTCGGGTAAATAGAGCAAGAAGCTTTATACTCTGTTATCAAAGTTTTTGTGGCTAAATGGTGGAATAGCTTCGATCACCGCCAACAGCTTCTTACTCTTCTCTGTATCTACATACACAAAAACCAATAACAAAGATTAAAAACAAATTAATTGTGGCTACTTGATCAAGCTTTAATTAATTAATAGTATTTGTGGGAGGAATATGTGGGTTTTTATATGCACGTTCCACCCATCTCCTCTTCCTTATATCTTTTCTTCAAATCAGTGTTGTAAAACTCGCCGAGTTATCCAATTATTTCTTTGAGTACTCGCTACTCAGCCCCTTACCGAGGCGAGTTGTAGAATCTCGAGTACTCCTCGATCGGCCCCTTACTGAACTGATCAGTGTTATAAAACCTGGTCAACTCGGTGATTAATATGTATAATATAGTTAACGATTTATTATTTAACACACACACATATGTTATTATTACTACGTATATATATATATATATATATATATATATATATATATATATATATATATATCTTAAAATTTCAATAATTATTCACGAAGTGAGACCATTGTGTGTTTTTTTTGTTTTTGTGTATTCACATGTATCTAATTTTGTTATATATTTCAATTAACTTTTGATTTTAACTTATGATTTTGATATATATAATTTCCCTAAGTATATTTCTACATGAATTACCGAATCCGAGAACTCCCCGAGTACTCGTTACTCGGTAGTCGGCCGAATAGGTACCGAGTAACGAGTTTTAAAACCTTGCTTCAATTATGATTTTACAGGTCATCAGATGATGGAGGCAATGGTGGTGCGTGATGATGACGAATGTGTGTGGGTGGTGAGATCTGAGAAGATGATCACATGCTTGATTCCTCTTCCTTCCTCAGATTTGCAGGTGATGTAATAAACAAACAAGAACAGTGGATGAATATGATGGTAATTGATTGTTGATAATGGCAATAGTGGGTCTATGATGGAGATATGAAGAATGGGAGATTGATTTGGGGAATTTTGGGCAAACAAGTCTAACTCTTTTGATTTGGAAGACATATTCAATGTCTTATGGATCTAGGTCTTCTTCAAAATCATCGCCATCATCTTTAGAATTTGGAGATTGCAGGAAGTAGTGACATTTTTGAACATATTAGAAATAATTTGGTGGGTGGGATGATAAAAGAAGATGATTGATCGAGTTACAGAGGGGTGTGTGTGTGTGCGAGAAAGAGAGAGAGAGAGAGAGAGAGAGAGAGAGAGAGAGAGAGAGAGAGCTAATAGAAGGGGGGGGGGAGAGAGAGAGAGAGAGAGAGAGAGAGAGAGGTAAGGGGTTACCTGTGGAGTGATAAGGATGGATGTTGTAGGATTTTATTTTTTACTTTTTTTCTAATTATTTAAATACTAAAATTAATAAAGAAAATAGAAAAACAAATAATAAGGGTAAAAGAGACATTACAAATTGTTCATGGATCAAATCCGCAAAACGTTTATGATTTTGAACCAATTATGCAAGTTGGAAACTTTTTGGATTTTATCCAATTTTTTTATTTGGTAAATCAAGGACCGGTTTTACTCTTATATATTTTCACAAATTTAAACAAACTTTACAATTACAACCCTTCATGTTATATATTATTTTCGTTTCTGATCATTTATATATTTGAAAATAAATAATCATTTATATATTAACAAATTTTACATATATGATTTTTTATTTTATATATTATTTTTATTTTAACCATTTAAATTATTTAACATAGATAAGATTACACATATAATTCTTATTTTACATATTATTTTCAATATAAATTCTATATTAATATTTATAAAAATAATTTGATCTTATATTAATATGAAATAAAACATATTACCTTTGAAAGAATTTTCGTTTAAAGTTTTTTTTATAACTTATTATTATTGATTTTTATTATCGAGCACTTAATACCGTTCAACTACATAGTTTTTTTTTTTTTTTCCTATTTTGATTACTCGATATATAGAATGATCAATATATTTTTTAATTTTCTTACACTATCTTATTACCTAAACTAAATGCAACTTATCATTTCACTAATATTGACCTCCAAATAAATGATCATCTGAATGGTTTAGCTTATTTAAATGATGTTTTTATAAATTTAACTAATATATCTCCGTTGATCTAAAATATTTTAAAAACTCTCATCACTTAATTAGTCAGTTTATAAACACATATCATATTTTAATATGAATGCATAAAGATAATTATATTTGTTCTTTATTTATATATTGTTAGATCTACAACATATGAAATTGTATTCAATATATATTTAATAGTTAAACTAATATATATATATATATATATATATATATATATATATATATATATATATATTCCATTAGTATTAGATGGTCACTTTAAAAATCTATAATAATAAGCTATAAAAAACTTCTATTAAATATGCTTATAAATATATCATCATACCAAAAAGAAAAAAAAATAATAAAAACATTTTCATGCTTTATTTTGGATCGAAAAAACATCATAAATGGTCCCTGTGTTTTCCCAGATTCTGAAGTTTAGTCCCCGTGGTTTAAAAATCTCATAGATGGTCCCTATGCTTTCAAAACTTTTGACAGATGGTCCTTATCCCTTACACCGTTAGAACCCCACCGTTAACCCTTATTTCATTAAAATAATATAAGGGTAAATCGGTCTTTTCACCTTTGCCGTCTTCTTTATAACCAAATGCATGTCTACATTTTGAAAACCCTTCTCGCACCCACCTTCTTCTACTCTCACTCTACTGTGCATCCAATTGCAAAACGATTTCTGCGAGTGTCGAAGATGGCGATTTGTAGATGTGGAATGGAAACAACAAAGTTGACCTCATGGACGGATCGTAACCCAGGAAGGCAATTTTTGAATTGTTCAATATGTGGGTTCGTAAGGTGGGTTGACCCTCCGATGTGTGCAAGGGCATTGGTGGTGAATCCAGGTTTGATAAGATCAATGAATCGATTGGAAGAAAGGGTTGCGATTGCAAGTGCAGAACTGTGGAACTATCGGCTGATCTTGTTCTATTCATGGATGTGTTTTTTGTTTTTTTTAACAAGTAAGGATTTGGATGGGAATAGGATTGGGGGGGGGGGGGTTCTTTTGTACGCATCTAACTAGTTTAGGGGGTTTTGGATTGTGATGGAATAGGTATTTTTGGTTTCAGTTTGTTGTATGAAGTGTAACACATTAAGTTAATGGAAATTATGATTATTTATTTTGTTATAAATCAGTGGTTTTGATGTGCATTTTCGTATGATACATTGTTATAACTGCATCTTGCAAATGGTTAGGAATGGTATTTCAAATCTACATTGTTATACATGCATCTTTTTAAGAAAGGTTTGGAAAGGGTAATTCATAAGCAAAGTGTTGATAAAATCATTACAAGTTCGTGTTTAACCCATACAAACATGAGACTTACTTTCAACATACTTACTAATAGAAGGTCTTAACCCATACAAACATTACAAAAGACCTAATTACCCTAATTTAAACAACCAAACCATAATTTAAGTTTCAAAAGACCTAACAACCCAAACATCCAACTAACTACTTAACAGAATTTCCTAAATTACCCTTTCCCTTTCCTTGTGTCTTCCTTTTTCCCTATGTCTTCCCCTTTGATCCAACTTCACTAATGCCTCCTTGCCCTTTACATGTTCTGGAATTGTGCCCATTGTTATGACACTTTGAACTAGTGACTGCAAGAAATTTCCTGCTCAATTTAGTGGTTTGGTTGTTGGGCTCATCAACACCTCTCCTTCTCTTCTTTTTTTGGCCTCCCAACCTACACATATGCATTTATTATATGTAAAACATTAACATACATGTTGGCATTAAAAGTACATATCTAGCCTAGTTGACATAACAACCTGTGTGTGATGTTTTGGTGGAGTTAAAGTGAATGGACAATCACTTTTTGGCCACATTGAACGACCATTTATTGGATTAATTTTGTTCAGATACATGGCTCTCCATGTTGATAATTTATAGCAAGGATAGACCCAATCCTCAACATCAAGGGCATCTTCTCCATTTTCAATTTTGTTCCATATAGCAGAAACAGCATGCATACATGGAAAACCTGTAATTTCCCAGAACCTACAAGTGCAACTTCTTTCATTTAGGTTCACCACATACTGATCCTGCCATGTGCTTGCAACTTGGTACTTTCCTGCCCCATTATACTTAGCTACATACTTTGCTATTTGAATCTTAATCTCCTCTAAAATTATAGTTGCAGTAGTAATTAGTTCCCCTTGACACTTATCTATTTCCTTTTGCACAACACACAATCTCTTCATGAGATACTCTCTAATATACTCTAAGCAGGTGATGATTGGTTTATCCCTACCTTCCTCTATCTTAGCATTGAATACCTCACAAAGATTATTCAACAAATAATCAGTGTGTGCCCTACCTGTGAAAAACATATTCAAAAAGAGAAATTACAAATTTTATATTAAAACATAAAACTCAACAACTTCTAAATGACATACCACTGAAGTGAGATTTAGACCATGTCTCTGCAGGAATCTTACACAACCAAGCATGAGCTTCATCATTCATTTTCTTCAACTCATCCATTACATGTTTAAAGTGATTTAATGTTGTTGCTCTATGACATTCCCAAACCAAGTCACTCAACTCTTTTCCTTTACATTGTTTCTTCAAATTCTCCTGAATATGCCTCAAACAAAACCTATGTTCTACTTTGGGGAATACCTTTGCAAGTGCTGGTATTATCCCCTTAACAAATGCAAATACAGTCAGTTTAATTTATAAAAATAGAAAGTAAGCTAAACTATCATGAGAAATAATTAGGTAAAACATACCTTTTGTCTATCAGAAATGAAGGTAAAATTTGAATTTGCTCCTAATTCCAACTCTTCTCCTAACAATTGCATGAACCAGGTCCAAGAACTAGTTGTCTCAGCCTCTACAACTGTATATGCTACAGGGTATATTCCATTATTTGAGTCTAGACCCACAGCAGTTAGTACCTGCCTAGGATATAGGCCTTTCAAGAATGTACCATCAACTCCCAGGAAATCCCTTAACCCAGCTTTGAATCCCAACATCAATGCACCTATACATACATATATTCTTCTAAAAGTTCTTGTAGTATTCGACAATCATGGTTCAGGATACACATCTATCCTAACAGTTGAACCAGGATTAGTGTTTAGCAGTTCCAAAGCATAATCCCTCAGATATCCATATTGAAGTTGGTAGTCCCCACTAATCACACGTTTAGCCATTTGCTTTGCCCTACCAACCTTTTGAACTGACATACCAAGCTCCAGCTTCTTACACAACTCCTCGTGTAAAGCTTTGATTGGAATTTTAGGGCTACTCTGGATTTGTGGAACAATTAAGTTTGCTAAATATTTGGAAGTATAAGCTTTAACTGATCTTGTATGCAAAGATTTATTGACATCATGTACTGTTTTCACCAACCAATCCTTATTCTCATCTGGCCTCGAGATTTGGACTGCCCAAGGACATTTTCCTTTTTTACTAATCACAATTTTACCCTTGCACTTTACCTTACATCTAGTTGATGGCCCACCACATTCAACTGTTTCAGTAGATTGTCCCTTGCACTTTACCTTACTTCTAGTTGATGGCCCACCACATTGAACTGTTTCAGTAAATTGGCCCACAACACCTCCATATTTGACCCTTATCCTGATTTTATCATTTTTTTTGCTAAGTATAGGGACCTCCTTGTATTTACAGCATGTGCATGCATGTAGTCCACAACTTCCTTCTTTTTTTTGAAACACTGCCCCACCCTATATGGTTTTAAATGGATCTCCCCATGTAAGCATGGAGTTGACCTACTCAATCCTTAAGCATTTTTTTCCTTTCATCTTCATAAAATCCTGCATAGTGATAATCATCACTTTGAATAACTTACAACTCTTCATCAACTATGTCATTACCTATACTTTTGGTTTGCTTGTTTAAAATTCCATGTTCATCTACATCCACAGCAGTTTGGAATTCACTTATGTCTACATCTACATCAAATTGCAAGTTAGACTCATGTACAATGTAGTCACTAACATCATAATCATCTCCACTATAATCAAAACCATCTTCATTATGACTATAGAAAGCATCTCCACTATCATCACTTATCATGCCCTCTAGAATTTCCATTTCTACTTGATTGTCTTCACCATTTTGTACATTGTACTCGGCATCAAAGTCAGCATAAGTTGAATTATCATCTGTAAATGCTTCCAATTCATCGAGTCTTACACTTTGTTGTCCATCAATATCTTCACAAATTGGTTCCTCTGCAAGATTGCCTAAATTACCCTTACACACTTCTTCTATGTGGCCCATGATCAATCCTTCATTCACATCAATGACATTACTTCGTTGGCTAACTTGAGACATAACATATGGAACAATAGTCTTTGAATGATCCTGACTTTCATCCATATCTATTACTTGTGACTGGTCAACAACATGGTTGGTAGGGTGGTCTAACTCAAGATTTTTACTACACGATCCTACTTCTCTTCTACAAGGTTTTTTTCTATTAAGTTCCGGTGACACACTCTCAGGTTCCAGTTCCTCAATAACAACTTTGGAAGGAGACTTAAAATAACTAGCTACCCTAGTCTGACCAATTTCAATATAGACATTTACAAGTCTGTGCTTAGGGACATACGAAACCAATTTAAGAACATCTTGGTCATTACCTAAAGGAAATAACCCGAAGTCTAAGGGAAATTCATGGATACAGAAATGGTAGTAAAGAGTTTGTTCACCTTTGTACCCTAATTCTCGAACCATGTCATCGAGTTCATGGACTGAAAATAAATCAGTGTCAACGTCATCTACGTATGATACAGTACCATCGACATATTTCCTTCCATGTGACTTGGTGAAGACACCACTATAGTGTATCTTCAACGTGAAATAGTTATCATAGCCCTCTGCAAACACAAAAATAGAAAGGGTAAAGAAGATGATTTATCTTCACGAATACATTCAAGGAAAACAAAAACTTAAGTTTTTTTTTTATGACAAATCTTACCGTATCTCGATTGCAAATCCTTCAAGCACACATTTTTTTCACGCAAACACCATATTGATAGAACCATTGTCCTTTGGTGCTGTGTAAACCCTAAACTCCAATTTCGTTTCTTGGATGAGAGTGATCTGTTGAAGACGAAGTCACTGTACTCTTGGGAGATGAAGAGTGTTTGGGAGTTGATGTGAATAAGACAGTGACATAATCATTTCCCTCAATAAAAAAGAGGGCACAGGTGAAAAGACTTATTTACCCTTATATTATTTTAATAAAATAAGGGTTAATGGTGGGGTTCTAATGGTGTGAGGGATAAGGACCATCTGTCAAAAGTTTTGAAAACACAGGGACCATCTATGAGATTTTTAAACCACGGGGATTAAACTTCAGAATCTGGGAAAACACAGGGACCATTTATGATGTTTTTTCTTTTGGATCCTTTGAAATAATAAGTTTCAAATTTTCTTTTCGAAATTTTTTTTTTTTTTTTAAATTATATGGTGATTTATATATTTTCAATTACTTATTGAAAGTGTTATTTGATCAAGACTCAAACAAGTATAGCAAGATATTTTGTCATTTTTATTGTTATATGTCTTATATTTTAATATTTATCATAATATAAATATATTTGTGATTTTCTACCAAAAACAATAATTTTTTTTTTCCGAAGAACAGCTAATAACCTAGCATTTTATTTATTTTTTTCAAGGTATTTCAAATATTAATTATACTTAACAATCATATACTTACCGACATACATACATTATTATATACAATTAAAGATTATGTTTTTTGATCATGTAACTTATTTTATCGTTTAATTCTATTCAAATTTATATTGTATTATACAAAATTATGATATATATATATATATATATATATATATATATATATATATATATATATATATATATATATATATATAAATAAGTAAAATGTAGATCGGATATTCATAATCACATATATATTAATTTTCACTAATCATTATAAACTTACAAACAAAATTTCTTTCTTTATAAATTAATAAATTTTTTGTAAGCTTTTAATTAGTCATTACGATTGAAATTATATATTATTTTATTTCTCAACCTTGTTTTCTACCGGTATTAATTTAGTTTATTAATAAAAGAGTTGTTGATCCTTCTCTCTTAACACTTCTTCTTTAATTTATTTTTTTATTTATTTTTGTGGAAAACTAATACTATGTTAAACGCAACGATGAAACTATGGTTTTGGACATCTCTTCATATAAGATGTAACTTTTGAGTAATTTAGGGATTCCATATACGTGAAAATTAAAAATTAATGGTGTTTGAGAATATTTTATAATATCATGTTAATCGTATTAAATGTTTGTAATCCTTTTATGTGATATTTAAGTAGTTTGTTTTATTGTAAATATCTATAGTTGTATGTTGGATAATTCGACAAATTTTAGTTTTCAGCTTTAAAAAAACTTGAAACAAAAGAAAGGGTTTGGTAGTAAAAACTACTTCAAATAAATTTTGAGAGTTTTTTGTTTTTAAAGCTTTTAACTTTTAAGTTTTATCTAATTTTAGACATTTAAAAAGCTAACAATTATTTTTGTCCAACGCTTACAAATATATAAAATATATAACTTCTAACTACCGGTTACTAGTTAGTTTTGTCAAACACATCTATAATCTTTGTGTTGTATATGCACAAGTTCAAATGGCCCCTTTTTTGTGAGTTGCATTGCAAATGTCCATGGCAATCACTCACCTATATATCTAGAAATATCTCTTGTAAACCAAAAATTAATGGAAAATATTTTGTACATTAGGTGAATATCTGCACGTTGCACAGAAACACTTATATAGTTAAAGTATTTACAAATGTATATTTTTTTTTAAATATAACAATAACGTTATTGTTAAATTTGATATAATAATTTGTATACTGAATTGATATTATATATAGATTATTTTGAACTATATGATAATATATAAATCTATTATAACTGTATAATCTCAATCATTTGAATGACTTATATCCGCAAGTTACTAATGAATAAATTTAAATACACTATATCATTTAATGTTATTTATAGTTGTTATTAATAATTAATTTTTAAAATTTATTTGTTTAATGTTTTAATTTCTATCATTATAACTGATTAAAATATCAAACATTGTTTTTTTATTTTAAAGGTAACAATATAATTATTTATATAGATTTATTTTTAACTATTCTTATTATAAATTATTTTAAGCTACTTATTTGAAGATTTTTCACGATTATAAAAATATCTTTAGGAATTATTTTAGTTAAATTGATATTACAATTTAGTTTTTGTATTTATCACTACAATTTATCACTTTTAACTATTTACAAAATATTCTTTGTTTTTTAAGTGGAACTGAAATTTATATTTAAGTTGACACTGTAATTTTATATTTAAATTAACAATTTAAGTATTTTGTCCAAACTGTTCAAAAGTTGTAGCTTTAAACTAATAATGGTTTACATATAACAACATTTTAAATCTATTAAATTAAATATAATATGTTAAAACTTAAAGACATAAGTTTATAAGTATAAGTAAATATATTATTTTAAAATTGAAATTTAGTTTATTTATGATTACACTTTATGTTTGATATTTATTTAACCTTAATAACCAAGTTATAATAATTATTAAAAAGACACTACAATTTATCATTTTAAACTATTTACAAAATATTTTTTGGGTTGTTTAAGTTAAACTAAAATTTATATTTAAGTTGACCCTATAATATTAATTTTAAATTAATAATGTAAGTATATTATACAAATTGTTCCAAAATTGTATCTTTAAAATGATAATGATTTACATCCAACAATATATTAAAACTAATAAATTAACTATACTATGTTAAAATTTTAAAAACATAACTTTATAAGTAGAAGTATAAATATTATTTTAATATTGAAATTTAATTTATATATGATTACACTTTAGGTTTGATATTTATTTAACCTTATTAACCAGCTTATATCTATTATTAGAAAAAATTGAAAAGTCAAGGAAGTTTCAAATGAATGTGGGGAAAGAAAAAATGCATATGAGTTTCAAATAAATATGGTAAAAAGAAAAATGTATCATTTATAAGTAGAAGTAAATATATTATTTTAATAAAAACATAATTTTATAATTAGAAGTAAATATATTATTTTAATATTGAAATTTATTTTATATATGATTACACTTTAAGTTTGACATTTATTTAACTTAATTACCAAATTATAATTATTATTATTATTATTATTATTATTATTATTATTATTATTATAAAAAAATTGAAAAGTCATAGGAGTTTCAAATGAATGTGATGAAAGGAAAAAAGAATGGGGGTTTCAAATGCATGAAATTCAAAAAAAAAAAAAATACTAGCTTTATAAATATGTATAATGTATGATGTATGATAAACCAGGACCATTATGGGTTTACAAATTGTGTCTAATCCAATGACCCCTCATCTATTTTTCTCTCTCACCAAAGTCATCACCGTTTTTTCTTGCTCTTCCAATCCATTAGATAACTTTCTTTCATTCAATAGTATGTGTATCTCGTGAGCACCTATAAACTAGACATAAAAATTATTTGATATGGTTAAACCTAGTTCAATAGATAGGACGAAAGACATCTCTCTCGAAGGAGAGTCAAATTCTATATTGACTACTTACACCTTGGTATTTAGTTCACATTGTATCTGAATAGCTTTTATAACCACTGTTAAGTATATATCATTTATCTGCATATAAAAGCAAAGTAATCAACTCTGTGAGAGTCACTTATGAATTATGATGATGCGTCATCAAGTGATCTCAATCATGGGTTTATCTATAATATGTTCACAAACAAATGCCAATGAATATGATACAACCTTTGCCTATATTAAAAAAAATCGGTTAGACATTCATTATAGTCTTAGTTTACTATGATTACTATGAGAATAATCCACTGTAGATGTTTTAGAATTAGAATGAAAACATGTCGGTCATGGATGGTTTAATTACACAAAAACATATATTAATGGAATAACTATGTAACTATAACTATCGAATACATAAATAAATAGATAATATTGTAGCAATTCAATGTTATAATTCCAAAAAAGTGTAATTAATTGTACCAATTCCAATTTTATAATATGCATGATGTTAATTAATAACATAAACATGCATGTCATTCATGAACCGGTCTATATATGGTTCTTAGTCTAACATATTTGAAATGTTATCTTTAATGTTTGACTTTTCTAATCATTACGTCTATTCTACCAATGAATTGTCGAAAGAG